TTATGTTTGAAACCCTTCCATTTAAATAACACTCAGAAATGATTTACATACACCATTGACAAAGAGGAATGAATCACATGAAAATACTGTGATGTGATGTGGCTCCAAAACAACAGTAATTGTGAATTAAAAAACAAAAAATCCCTACACAAAAAACCATTCAGTTTCATAAAACTACTTATCTAATAAAAGGTTTTTCCATACCTGAATTTTCACAACCTCATTCCCTAGTGAAAATAACTTGAGCAAAAATTAATCAAATGTATAAGAGAGGGTATCAAAAGGGAAATAACCCAGTTTATTTTGTATCTTCAGCAATAGTAAATGCAATCAAAAGAAGCAAACAAAACTAAATTATTGTTCTGGTCACATTTTTACATACTGTGTATGGCTGCTTTCAGTTTAATCAGTTTATGTTCTTTCTAAAAGCTGCAAATATGACTTTCTTAAAAGCATAATTCAGGCATCCACAATCTGAAGCACTCACCTCCTAAATATCCTGGTGAAGTCCCAGCATCCTTCAAATTACTCAGACTGGCTTCCCTGTAAGTCATGTATTCAATGCAACTGTCTGTAGACTGAAGGCTTACACACATAGAACTGTACGTGCGCAGGATCTTCTGTATGTGTCAAAAAGCGATGCTATGAAATGAGGATAACCTGGAGCACGGACCTGAGTAGATACTGAATGGGGGAATAGGGCTAATGTCTTGCATTTTAACCAGTGGGATTATTTCTTTAAATGAGCCGGACCTTTTTATATTTCTAAGTCATGAAGTCAAATAAGACACCATTTTTTTAAAACTAGTAGATAGAGCTTTTTATTCATCAGTTTTATATTTTTATTTATAATGTTATGACATAGAAGCCCAAAAGCTAGGGATTTACAACATTTCTTTATAAAAATATGTATTCCTTTAATTTTTAAAAGAGTTTTTTCAAAATATGATATTTTCCAGCTTGCCTTTCCTTTTACGTGGCTTATCTCCCTCTGTCTGTGTCTGGTACAGTCCATTTGGGGGTTGGGGGGAATCATTTGAGCATTTAGCAAACAGAACCAAATTGTCACTAATGAAAGCTCTTATCTGTGCTCAGTTGACTTCACTCTTTGTCTTTGTCCAGCAGCACTCTAGGCATCTCTTGTGGCACTTCATCTGCCAGAGCTGCTTGGTAAACCATGGCATTCTATGAGATCTGCATATGCAGAGAGTCTGCATAGGCACAATTCAGTCCAACACCCCTGTCACCTGCTCATTCCAACCCACAGTGAGGTCATCCACCAAACTACATGCCAGTGGTTTGGGAAAAACCCCAATTTCCCTCTGAAACCATGCTGGGTCCATCAGGAACCTGGGGTGGGTGATCTAAGAGGCTCCAGCTCCCTGCAGTGAGGGAGGCTGCAGAGAACTCTAGAGCCAAAAGGGAGTGATCCATCCATGGCAAAGGGCTGATGTTAACACCTCAAAATCCAGATCATTACACCACTCTCCCGAGGCAAACACCGGATCCAATGTGTGACCCTTTGTGAGTTGGGCCGTGAATAAGTTGATATGATAAAATGTTCCTTTATGTGGCATTTCCAACATTTATTGTTGTATGATTTAAGTATCTTGGCAATTGTTGATGGAGTCATATGTCAATAGAACACTTCATACAAATTTTCCCTCACATTCTAGTTTGGTGTAAAATTTATTTTAGTGAAAATTTGAATCCTTTTTACCATAAAGTTTTATATGTTTTCTGTTTCCATATTATATTTAAGAGGCCATTTGTAAATATGTCCTATAACTGATCTTGAGTCTGAATAAGTATTTCAAATTCTGTCATCTTTCTCAGGATCCCTTCTTCTTTAAGATCAATTTTTTTCCCAATTATTTCCAAATACATTAACCATGGTAGATTTCTTCATTAAACAATTATTGCTGTGTCTTTAATCTATTTCTTGAATGTAGATGTATCATTTGATGGCAATCAGATCTTTCTTACTGAAATTGACTTTGACATATAAAGCATTTGACAGTGATGCTAATGGTGAAATTGTTAATGATTTTAAGGAATCCTAATTTTTAACAGACTTTCTCTTATAATATGTTTCTTCAGATTCTTGTCTTCATTTGTTCCTTTATTCCCTAAATATCTATGAAGCCCATTGGCAAAGCCTACTCTTTCTGTAATTAAAATTCTACTACTAGGAAATTTTATCCATTCTGTTATCCATGATAGATAGCTTGCTCTATAATTTAATCTGAGATTGGGAAAAGCTTATCCACTTCTTTCTTTTATGTCTTGCAAAACATTAAATCTTACTCATTTTATTTTTCCCATACCATATAAATCTATTAATTGTTTTTGCCAACCCTGCAATTTTTTTAATCTCGGATTTGAATTGATGCCATTTGAAAGAAGAAGTTTATCTTGGGTAAAACATCCATTTTTATTGTCACCCAAATCCTAGCCAGTAGTTTTCAGCTTTTCCACCTTTCAAGATCTTGTTTATTTCTTTCCATAATTTATTGTAATTGTTTTGAAATACGTCTTTATTGCATCTGTCAAAATATTTCACTGAATCTTTTATTGTCTCACAGCCATCCTTGTCATATCTTTGTAAATCCCCTTTATTCAGTTACTGTCTGAAAATACACAAACATAGAAATGTTTTTCATAAAGATTTGACCATTTCAAGAATGCAAACTATATTCATTGACTTTGACCCATACATATTTCCAACAGTTGGCAACAAGGCAGTTTTCTATGTTTTTACATGAACTGAATGTATACAGAATACAGTTTGGGGATTTTAGTTCCAAATTAAGTATTTTCAATCTACACAATGCTGGTTGAAAATTATTGTTGATGACTTTATGTACTCCAGGGCAATAGTAATAATATATAAACATTGAAATACATTAGATATAAATCTAAATGTGGAGGAGTTTCTAGTGTTCATAGCAGGACACAACGGTTGTCAAAATTAAGACTTTTGATTGTACAATGTACAATATAATTAATTTCAGAAGCCATCTGTATTTTAGTCACAATTAAGGCTCTGAGGCTTGTACAGTATATATTTTAACTGTTAAATTTAAGCACTGAATGTTTATATTTGAAAGTATATGCTTTTTTTATAATTATACAATGCAGAAAATCAAACAAATAAATTCAATTTAAATATGACACATGTAGTGTGTAGGTAGTGTGTAGTGTAAATCTACTACCTGTGCAGACAGAAATACATATTTTAAATATGGAATATTAAAATAAATATGCAATTGTACTTCAAATAAAGGTGTAATTGTCTTTTACCTTACTGACCTTAATTAAGTGTGAAATATGGTTATTAAATATCAAATTTAGAAATAATAAATATGTTACAGAGTTTATTCATGTTTTCTTATTTTGAATTCTGTAATTAGATACACTGGCTTTTAAATTCATAAAAAAAGTAATTTTTAAGAATTCAGAAATCAGCAGCCTTGAGATCTAAAATGGGGAAATAAAATTTAGTTAATGGTTAACTGAATATTAAATTAAGTTTTGAAAGTTGGAGAGAAAATAGAGATTTTAATAGTCCTTTTCACATTTATATAAACAATTAAGCTATTGTATGTGTGCAACTTACTAGCCTCCTACATTTGTTTTTAGGTTCACTTGTAAATGGATGGGGTTCTCTGTCTGATGATGACCATACATTTTCTCATCCTAGATCTAGTATAGTAGGTAGATCCTCAGATAACTTCATCTTTGCCAGTGGCAATTTTGCATAAGCTCTAATTGCAGTAGCATAAAGCTGGGTTTAGGCTGGATGAAACCAGCCTAGCAAGAACAGGTTTAAAAACGCAAAGCTAATGTTTTTTGCTGGATGCTGGACTCTATTCCTTTTCATTTTTTCTTCTGTGTAAATCTCAACATAAGTATGTATGTGTGTATTTATATGCGTGTATACAGAGAGAGAGATAGAGAGCTTACATTTTGGCCTAAATTCAAACAAAACAAAAATCAAACACCAAGAAATAACAAAGCAAAGCACAGATTCTACTGTAGATTCTCTGAGATATACTACTGTTTAATGTTCCTTTAAAGAAACAGCTCATTGCAATTTTTATAAAGTATATGGGATATATGAAAATATTATAAAAGCAGGAGAAAAAATACATTGAAGAATAGAATAGAATAGAATAGAATAGAATAGAATAGAATAGAATAGAATAGAATAGAATAGAATAGAATAGAATAGAATAGAATAGAA